GTTTTATTTATGAGTGCATAAACGGGTAAACATGCCGTTCTAAGGATATCTCGGACTCTTCGGTCGTAGGTATCCGCTAGGACCGCGTCTCTTATCACCGGTTCCTCGTGGTTCATTATGAGGACGCTTCTATTTCGGCCAGTCGTGAGTTCGTTCGCGCTTTTTAATTCCGACACTTCGTTCTCAAGGCTAGCAATCTTCTGCTCTAGGCGTTTGATCGATTGCTTCTGGTAGGGATGAGTGTTATAGTCTCGGTTGGCGGTACTGCTAGGCTCGGGCGCCGTGGTAGTGCGCTCTCGAGCTGCGTAATCTGCCATGGCCACGCACAGGTAACATCCATTACAGCGCTTCTTTACTCGAGCATATTTCATATACTCTTTTATCTAGGTGGGTGATACCAGTAGCCCCAACAATCACACGGTATGCCACTGGAGACTGACTTTTTACATTTCTGCGAATCCCAGAACCCTGATTTCCGCTCTTAATGTTACGAAAAAAAGTTAAATGTCTACGATCCAGAACTTAAATTCCCACAAAACGTTCGTTAATTTTAGGGGTAACCACAAGATCAGACACGTGGGAACTTACCGAAACGTTTGTTCGAAAATCTCTCACAATTCCGTACTGCCTGTAGAAATCAGGTAGATCTGCACTCCGATTTCGTTCTAGCGAGAATATTCCGATTTCGGAGATTTTTTGCGCCATAACAGAATTTTTCTCAGGATAGCTATTCTTCATAGCCAGGTGATTCACGGTGTAATAGTCTACCAATTGCGAAGGCTAAGGTTGCGCCACTCAAAACTATTTCAATCTGTAGAGTCGAACTGGCAGCAGCAGTCCCAGCCGTAGGGGGGGGGGCAACTTTACTAAAAAGGTGTTTCAACTCAATCGACTTGGCCATGACTTATTGGACCGAATCCGCAATAAATCTGCACTATATATACGACGCCCGGATGCTACTCAGCACTTTTGTCACGAATCGACTAGCCATCAGCCACCGAGAGACTAAAGTGCACTAGTGGCAGCACGTGAACTCCACTGGCAACCCGGCCGAATACTGCTCCAGGGGGAAAACTAACCTGAAATCTAGAATCCGGTATGGTTTCGGGGCCAATAATTCCTAATGGTATCGCCTGACAGATGGCCTGACAACCTGATTCCCCACCATTTTATGAAGTTGCTAGGGCCTAAAACGACTAATACGTAAGTGCACGTTTCAACTAACACAATTCTGTCGGGATGGCCTCGCGTTTCACGATGGAAAAGTATGCTAAGTGGTTGCCTGGTGGATTTGGTTCAAACGTCAATTGATTGTTATGACAGGAACGCCGGAACGCCACTTTAAACATTCTACTCGTTCTCGAGAAACCAAAGACAGTAGAAAATTATGGTGCAGTCAAAAGCTTTTCACTCTGAGATTATGTGGCTAAGCAGGGCGAAATTAGGTTCAAACAGACGATCACTGTATCGCGGCTTTCTCCAAAACTCCTGTCTGATATTGCCAGAAGGATCGATGAGGATGGGTGGACTTTGATGCTATACACTCCGTTATATTGCCCAACATTCAGCATATCACGCAAAACCTAATCATACACATTTGCATGAAGTAGGGTCATGTCGGCGAAAACCATCAACTGAATACGATCCGCCGTCGCTTCTGGATTATAACCGGACCTTTTTCCTACCAGAACTCTACTCTGGTGAGCTCTAATTTCAGATCCCTACTATCATCAAAAAAATACCAGCCTGATCTAGCGGCATCTCATTTACAATATTTCAATATTTACAATATTTACGAATTCGGTCACCCCAACTTTCGATTTTATTCAAATTAGAACGGACTACGGAAAAGAACGTAAGCAAACGTTGACGGAACATTCTGACTGACATCGGTAACCTATGAACCACTGAAGTCATAGGATGCCGAATAATGAATATACTTACTACATTATATTGTATAATAAATTCACAATTATAAATACGTAATTGTGAATTTATTTAAAGTTTGCTTTAATAATCTGCTTGCAAGGGGCTTCGATTTGAGTATTTCATAAACATTTTCGATCATTTGTTTTGTATGAAAATAAGGATTGGATTGGTGGGAATTATTTCTTACTCAAACGAAAGTGTATGATGAGCATTCATTGTTGTGGTTGTCAAAGAACTACGTCTTAGAGTAAAGTGGAGGAGTATTTCAACTTTGATTGAAATAAATAATTTACTCCAGTTACTTTAAAATCACTAACTTAGATGTAAATTCGGAAGAGCTAAGCAACTGAGAAGCGATCAGTTTAGTTATTGGGCTGTGTGGAAACGGACATGACTGACCTACCCACCCAGTTTGAATCACATAATTTAACCATGGAGAAGTTAATGAACCTATACAACAATTTATTAATTTAGAATAGATTACCTATCTTTTAGTTAGTGTTTAAACTATAGAAAATTATACCCTACCAGTTATTGGAAGCTGGAATCCATCATCTCTGAATGCTCAACCAAGGTGTATCATGCCGCTAAACAGACAAGATCACCGAACAGCTGGCCGTCCTGCAAAACGGCAAAATAAGCATTCCAGGACGGAACTCCAGGAATACTGTAATTGGCATACCATAGTAGTGACAACAGATGGGATCATGAAGGCTCATTCGCACGGAGACGAGTGACCGGTCACTTCGAGTTCACTGTACTGGAGGAACAATAATATATGAAGATGCGAAATTGTGAGATTAACCTCTGGGGATCGATGTTGATTCTGATTAAACAACTACCCTGGCGCACACGACCCATTGTGGACAGACTGACAATAGACTCGTGGATTGCTGGATTATAGTGATTATACAATAATAACCAACACCATCATTGTTCACATACTTTTTTATTATTCAGAAGAGTTTGAAGTTACATGTGATGGAAGATAGAATTTCCTGATAATCAAGCTCATAGCTTTCACTTCTATCAGCTAAACGGAAATGATATTGCGTCTGTTTTGGTGGTCATAAATAGCTCTCATACTCCACGGAGACCGAGCAAAAAATGCCCTTGTTGGCTTATAACACTATACTGGAGATTGTTCACAACATAAAAATGAACATGCGTGAACTTCCAGGGACAAATCGTTATTGTGAAGAACGAACAACTAAAGGAAATATGCATTCCGTTGATGGTTATAAGAATGGGAGATAGAAGGAGTGAGATAGGAGGAGAACATGTATGTTTGGAAGTATAATTGGTCACTGTATTTTTCACAACCAAAGTTTCCCGTTACATATATCACGGAAGATAGATAATGGCAATTTGAATATGGTTATTAATATTACCCTTGTGAGTGCGATAATGCCCGCAGTCATCGATGGTCTTTCTTTTCTTTCACTCTCTTTTCGATCAATTCCTTCGTGGCTATTTCTGGCCAAATGCACAGGAATGAAGTCAACCAGCGCACCTAGACAGAAGCGCATAATACACGATCGAAAAAGAGTTTGGATGCGAATTCCACGGGTACAGCAAGCGGTAGTATGGGCGGGCGTGTTTACTGTTTGTTCGACTTGAATGAGATCGATTGACAGAGTGTTTCCGCCACTTGGAGAGATTAGGCAGACGGTGTGAGATTCGTTGGTGGGGGGAGGGGGTTGCGTCAAGAACAGCAATAAAAACAACTCATGGAAAAGTGACGTGGGTGTGTGTAAAACAAAATCACATGCAAATCATGCACAAAACACAAGAGAAAGAGCTTGTGAGATTGTGAAAGAGGGACAGAGAGAGTGAGTAAAAGGATGAAGAATAATTGGGTTTAAATAGTGCACAACCGTATCGTCGCATAGCGCTACCCACAGACGATAATGTCTAATACGGCCTCGTATCGGTTGCCGTTTGTCTCTGTGGTTGATATTGCTGAGTGTAGTACTCATGTGTTACGTCTTGCCCCGTCATATACGAACCACCTGTGCGGAAATGAAAAAGGGATATTTTTGAAAAAAAAATTCGAATGTCTGTTGAAAAACAAAGTACCAAATAATGAGTCGATTCATCTATGGTGCCTTATGACTGGTCCTCCATTTCATCCAGTCGAGTTACAACAGACCAAATACCAACAAGGTCAAACAATAAACGTAAATACTGTTATGGCCGAACATGAATTAATGGAATCCTTGTGGTACACGACCAAATTCTATGTTGTTATTGCTCAAAACCACGATTCAATATTATTCCGTCACCGGAACATAAGCAACACAAATGCAGAGTATGGAGCACACCGTAGGCGTTTCATACCTCTGGGAGTCTAATAAAACACATTCTACATGTAAACTACTATCGGATAAATTCCTGATACATCTGCATTTTCGGTTTAAATGAGTAATCTTTCCCTTGATCTGTGACATGATTGCATTACTCTGTTTTGTGTAGGATTGAGTGGTTTTGGGTGACATTCGTGACCTTGACGCAAAAGAGTGACGGTGTCTGAGTGGCAAAGATCACCCAGATAGCGATCAGGTAATCCTGAGTCCGAAACCCACCACCGCCATCCATCTGTTCTTCATTGGTGTATTTCCCCATGCAGCCTGTGTGGTCGCGGCTCAATTCCTGAATGCTGATAGTACATTTTTATACTCATTATACAAAAAGAGAATTAATACATTTATGTACTATCATATTAACGGTGATTTCACGAGGAGACAGTGTAAGACAACAGGATCCAATATTCACGCTTGTTATTATGCAATCAATAGAAAAAAATTAATCTAACTTATTCAAGAATTTACTCTGAATTGGTGACTATTTTAATCGGTTCAATCAAGACCTACAGCTGGAGGCCTCTGATTAGGCACTTCGTGCAAGATCAACCCGCAAACCTCAAGCAAGCAAGAACAGGCACTGTAATGAAGTACCTACTGATTTCACCTGCGCTACACGGCAATAGTCAAGTTGTTTTATTTTTTAAAGTTTTTGAGGCACAGTTATTTTCGTTATTTTCCTTTTCACCACTCTCAGAAATCCCGGTTCGAAAAAGAATATGGTACATTCAGTTTTCCGGAAGGAGTTTGTCATCTAACAAAAGGTTGTCTAGTTACTTAGCAAGTCAATGTCATCTAACAATGGTGCACGCGTAGGGCACCGTTCTCGAACAAAAGCGAAGAACAGATCTTCTCGACTTCATTACCAAAACATAAAGAACATTCAGGTTTTCAGAACCACTTTATCCAGAAGATCTGACCAAAGGAAATAACCACTGTATTCGTATGGTTAGATAGTAACGATTATGACATCGCTCAATCAAGGGGCTAAAATGAGTAATGGAAGCGACCCAATAAGCGGTGGTGGCAGCAATTAAATTTTGAACGCAATCTCTGTGAAAGAGTGATGATTACTACACTGCTCAACCACTGCTGTCTTTAGTCTCTCCCCCCCCCCTCCACCCAGCAAAAAACCTCGAACTGGTTTATCACACCGACTGAAATTATGTTTTTCTCTAGTCTCTCTTCCTTCTGCTCATTCATATTATTTGGCTCTTTTAATAATCCAGCTTGATCGAGGATATACTCACATGTGCCAACAGAAGAGCTTAATGTCCCATTTAAACAAAAGAAAATCTTTACATAATAAAAAGTCTCACGAAGTTATAAATGGTAAGCCAAAACACCATTAAAGATTATATTTGGTCAGGAAAAGTGTAGTGTTTTGGATGAAATAGTTAAAGAAGGAAACGTGGCAAATGATCAACGAATATCAGACTTGCTTTGTGAACGTTCGTGAACAATTTTTGGCAGCTGGCTCACCGCATATACATGGACTTACCGAAGGTTCCTGAACCTGGAGCAGAGAGATCGGTCGGCTGACCGTATGAGGCAACTGCCGTGGGGTCTAGACCATCTGTTGCTGCTTCCGCGGAATCTTTGTCTGTCGCGGCAGCGGGGATTGGTAGCACATAGTTCAGGACGAGGAATCCGAGCAAGACCACTGCTGAAGCTGCTCCATATGAACGAAACATAGTTGCGCTGCCTGTATTGATTAAGGGGATTCGATGTTAGGAATAAGAAATGAAAGGGGGTTGGAGTTAGCCGTAGGATTGATGTTAATGGACAACAGAAAACGCAGGCTGAATGCACCCATTTCATTAACTATTTCTTCCGTATACATTTACTACTCACGGCTGGTCAAAATTAACACCTGCGATAGTAATCCCATTGCGAGATCCACACAAGGGCTATTACTTCAGTGCTTACATGCGGATTCGTCTTACTTA